ATTTTTAAGATCTTGTAAAAAGGTCCCAAAAATCTAATTAATTAATAATTTGAATTAAAGCTAAAACAAATAAATAAAAACTGGGTGTTTCACTTCTTTTGCATAACTCTTTTGCGAGATGAATATACCATCCTCTGATTGTTCCACTTCTAGGCCCAAATAATAAGCATTAGACCCACATAAGTCATCTCAAACTCAAAGGACATATGCTTCTTGAATTCTTCAATTAACTTGGGATTTTTGCTTGTAAAGATCAAATCATCCATGTAAAGACAAACTATCAAGATGTCTCCATCATCATTTGTTTTAATATAGAGTGTATATTCATGAAGACAACGATCAAACTCATTATCTTGAAAATAGTTTTCGATACGACTGTACCATGCACGAGGTGATTGTTTCAACCCATATAATGCCTTGTTTAGCCTTATATTTATCTTATTGTCCTTTGACTTTGTATCAAATAGGTTGCTCAATGTAAACTTCTCCTCTAAGAAACTATTAAGAAATATTGATTTCACATCAAGTTGATGGATTTTCTACTTCTTTTGAGCCGCCAAAGAGATAATCAATCAAATGATTTCAATTCAAGAAATTGGCGCAAAAACTTCATCATAATCAACCCCATGCTTTTGCTTATAGCCTTTAACAATAAGTCTTTCTTCGTATCTCACCACTTCTCCACTTGCATTCTTTTTTTCTTCTTGAAAATCCACTTGACCTTTTGGAAGTTCTGATAACTCCCAAGTATTGTTCTTCTCAATGGATTTTCATCTATTGTTAATCTCCATTTCTTGTCATTCACAACATCTTCAAAAATGAGCGACTCACTATCTACTATTAGGAAAAACAAGTCATTAATATCTTCAGTGGAGCGATATAAATCCCTGATACTTCTGAATTTATTTGGTATTTCATTCGAACTTTCTCTGGAACTCAAGGTTTTACCAGAAGTTTCTTCATAAATCGGTTCAGGTGAAGGTGGAGTCATATCCTGTGGAGGGTTCACATCTTGCGGAGGAATCACATCTTGCTCTTCTTCAAAATATGGAAAGAAATCATAGTGTGTCCTAATTTCAACTTAGTTGTTCATCAAACTCAACATCACGACTGATAAAAATTCTTCTATTTATTGGATTACACAACTTGTAGACTTTGGAGTTTAATTCATAACCAATAAATATATATTTAGAACTTCGATTATCAAGTTTGGATCTACCTTGGTCGGGTACATGTGCATAAGAAATGCTTCCAAACACTCGAAAATGTCTCATACTTGGCTTTCTTCCGCTTCAAGCTTTTAGAGGAGTTACATTATCCACTTTCTTTGTTGGCGAGCGATTGGACAAATAAACTGCACCTGAAATAGATTCGGCCCAAAATTCTTTAGGCACGTTCTTCGCCTTTATCATACTTCTGGCTATGTTAAGAATGGTTTTATTTTTTCTTTCTGGAACTCCATTTTGTTGTGGCGATCTGGGTCCATCAAAGGATGACGAATTCCATGTGCATTACAAAAAATCATTAAATTCATTGGAAGTAAATTCGGCTCCTCTGTCAGATCTTAAGGATTTTATCTCATAGATATTTTCATTTTCAACAAGAGCTTTAAAACTTCTAAAAATACCAAAGGCCTCAGATTTATGTTTCAAGAAGTAAACCCAAGTCTTTCTGCTATAATCATCAATGAAGAGCAAGAAGTGTCCACTTTTACTGAATGATGGCAGGGTGATTGGTCCATGTACATTGGTATAAACAAGTTGAAGAGGCTTGGTTGCTCTTAATGTTGCTTCTTTTGTAAAACTCATCCTTACACGTTTGCCTAGGAGACATGCCTCACACAATTAGTTAGGGTAACTAATAATCAAAATTCCATTTACCATCTTATTTTCTCAAAGCATTTTGAGGGCTCCAAAGTTCAAGTGACTGAATCTCATTTTCCAATGCCATGCATCATCTTCCACACTAGTCTTCAAACACTTTGCTTCAATCGTATTGAGATTCAATAAAAACATTCTACTCTTCGACATTTATACTTTAGCAACCAAGTTGACATAATAATCTCTTAGCCAAAGACAACAATCTTTCATGTAAACTTCATAACCTCTTTCAAGGAGTTTCCCCAAACTCAAAAATATTACTCTTTAGCTTCGACACATAATAAACATCGGTAATAAGGCTATTGTTTTCATCATTTAGAGAAATTAAAATAGTCAATTTCTCCTGAATTTGGATTTTCGATGAGTCTCCAAATGAAAAGTTTACTTTTAAATTTCTCATCAAGTTCCACAAAGGCCTCTTTGTCTCCACACATGTGATTGCTTTCTCTATTGTCAAGGTACCAAGTGCTTGCATCATTGTTATCTTTTTTCTTAAATGCTAGCAATAAGGTTGGCTCTTCAACATATTGTTGATATTCAATGAGGTTGATACTCTCTTCATTTCTACTTTGATTTTGGCATCCCAAGAAAAAAAAGACTAAATTTATGGTAATTATAATATTCAATATTGGACTTGTCATACCTCATTTCATTCGATCTTTGATTATTAAATCTTCCTCTTCCCCTTGATCTTCCCTGATTTCTTGATGATGAACTTACATCATTATTTGTACGATCTTCACGATCACTTTCGATTCTTTGTTGGCCAAAACTTCGACCTCGTCCACGTCTATGACCCTTTCAATTCTTTTTTTCTCGATTGTTTTTCAAAGACAACTTGGCTTTGAGGGCTTGTTCAATGGACTCATCTTGTCTCCTATTAAATCTGTCTTCCTGGGCTTGCAACTCACCCATAACTTGTTCAATAGCCATGGGGTCTAAATCCTTTGATTCAATAGCATAAACCACATAATCAAACTTTGGAGTCAAAGAATGAATGATCTTTTCAATCACACGAACATCTTCTAAAGTTTCTCCATATCTCTTCATTTGATTGACAATGATCATCACCCTTGAGTAATAATCCAAAATTGAATCAGATTCCTTTATCCACAAGGTTTCAAACTCACCTCGCAACACTTGGAGTCGAATCTTTTTCACTTTATCAACTCCATGGAGAGAATTTTGTAAAATATCTTTCCTGTTAAAAGAATTTGAAAGTGCATATTACGATTTAAAAATATCAGGTGCAATTATCACTATAGAAATATATATGAGAAAAAGAACTGGTAAAGCATGCCTAAAGGCAAGTTCAGTGCGTTTTCAAACTTTAATCCACCCAAAACATAACTTACATCTAGTTGCATTACTTATTAACTCCCCCTAATTTATAATATTATGGGATTAAATGAAGTAGATTTTAGGAAATTGTTTAAAGGTAATTTTGTTATGTTTCCATTGACGCTCAAAGAATTGTACTTGGGGATGAAAGCTTTAACATTGCCACAGAGGAGATATATTCTTATTTAAGCCATGAACACGACATAAAGCCATGGCCACAAACCATGAAATCATGAATCAACAAAGACGACGAGAAGACGTGAAGCCATGTCCACAAACAATGAAATCATGAACCGACAAAGACAGGACGAAAGAAGAAACATGTTCCTCCGCACATCCAGCTCCTTGGCAGTTGACATGATAGAGCACTAACCACTTCAGTTCCGCAATCGTCATCTCAGTTGCCCTCATTAAGGCATCTTCGGATGGAGATTGAGTGCCCCTCTTTTAATTTAATGGAAATGGTTCTCATTATAAATAATATTATAATACTTCAGCTGTTCCAAACCATCCTGTTTCCTTCGTGGTGTTGGCATTTGCCACTTTTACAAACATCGAATCATCCGGACATTGGTGGATCTTTCTTCCTTGTCTTCTTCAAATCCTCATTTTCTTGTTGATTTTTCTTCTTTGTCTTCGTCAAAGCCTCATTTTCTTGTTGTAACAATGACGCCTCGTCATAACGAGATTCATAACCATTTTGTGTGATCTCCAAAGCATCTTGTGCCCCAAGTAAATCTTTCATACGGAGACACTTTCTTAATTGTCTTTTGTAAGACAAGGAAATTGAAATGGAAACATACTATTGTTGGTCATCTTCACCTATATCGAACCAAGCTCTGATATCACTTTGTTGAGATATGAAAGTATGAAACTTAAACTTGTAGAGAAGAACAAGAAAATATAAGAAAAAAACTTGGAATTAAATTGACTTGCTTCATCACTTATAATCCTTTATATAGAATTGTAAGTGACCGTTTGAATGATTACAAAACTATTGATAACACATTTTCATCGTACATGGCCATGTCTATTCATCATGAATAGTCATATTCATTCACGATGAATAGTTACATCCATCCTAATACATTAATGAAAATGTATAATTCTTCATACTTATTGTTTAAATTAAATTAAATATTCAACAAAGGTTTCATGGCATATATTCGATTTTTGGCCTTCAAAGCCGATTCTCAAAGTGTAAGAGTTTTCTAGGATTCTTTCATATATTTTGACGGTCTTATTAATGGATTCGTTGCTTCTTGGGAGTTCTAGATTGCTAAAGCTGGCGATAATTCTGCTAACCCGATTTTAGCATATATATATATATATATATATTAAGCAATATGGCCTTTATTCTTCCTGGAATCTTATGCCAGTATTATATCTATGGAAAAGGTTAGTCTTTTAGATTTGATAATGTATTTTGTTTTGATGGATTTACCTTTGTTTTGGGCTCTGTATTCAAGTATGTAATTATTGTTCAACTGGTGTTTTTACAAGATCCTACTTTATTTGTCTTGCAATATCAGGTAGTTCTTACTTCCCCAACTTTTGACTAAGCTTTATATAGTTCAACGATAAAATTGTGTACGTGATTTTCTTGGGGAAACAGGCATACAGCATACTATTAGCAAGAACTTTGCTGGGAATATTTTGCTTGATTACACTTGTTACACACAAGTGTAGGAGAAGACATTTATCAATGGATGAAAGTATTGAAAACTTTCTTTAAAGTCGGAATTGCCTATTCGATATTGATACCATGAAATAAAAACAATGACAGAAGGTTTCAAAGTTAAACTAGGCCAAGGAGGGTTCGGTTCTGTGTTCAAAGGAAAGCTTCGTGGTGGTCGGTTGGTGGAAGTAAAAATATTGGGAAAATCCAAAGCAAATGGAGAAGATTTCATCAATGAAGTTGCTACCATCGGAAGGATTCATCACATGAACGTTGTGCAACTCATTGGATTCTGTGTAGAGGGATCGAAACAAGCTCTTATATACTATTTCATGGTGAATGGATCATTAGACAAAATCATGTTTTCAAAAGAAACTTGAAGTTTAACTTGGCCAAAACTGTTGGACATTGCACTCAGTGTTGGCCAAAACTTTGTCCCCAATGTATCTGATTCTGGTCTTGCAAAATTATATTCGGTGGATGACAGTATCATCTCTCACACAGCTGCTCGTGGTACACTAGGTTACATTGCACCTGAATTTTTCTACAAAAACATTGGAGGTGTCTCTTGTAAAGCTGATGTTTATAGTTTTGGGATGTTATTAATGGAAATGGTGGGAAGAAGAAAGAATCTGAATGTACTTGACATACTTGACATATTAAGATCCTCGACTTGTTTTCATCATAATCATATATGCATTTTATCATAATGAACATACATGCCAAAGCAAATCATATTTGATTCATGGAATTCTTATTTCATAACTAAACTTACCATAAGCTTACCACAAGCTTAGTCGCAAATCAATACTTATAGGGGTTGATGTAAGATTTTATGTTAGTGTGGTGAAGTTATAAAATTTTAGTAGAGACGAATTTAAAAAATTTTAAAGATGAAAATAGATTATCAATACAAAATATAAAGAAAATATCTAAGATATACGAGAGAGAATGGATGGCAATAATTCCTATCATCCTTAACCGGCTCCATATCAAGTAAATCTCGATTCAACCAATCCAATTTTTTTTTTTTTACAATCATGCTCAGAACCGGGACTCAAAGAGAGACAGAAGACCGAGTCATCCGGAAATTCGGATGAATTTGAGCCAGGTTTGTCAGAAGGAAGTAATGGGCAAATGGGTGATCCTCCATTGCTACTGGCAAACCGCATGTAAAGCCCGTCCCACTATTTGTCATAGTTGGGGCCTAAGGACACTTTGGTTGATGTGATTGTGCCACCATTTGCCCCTAATAATTTTGAAATTCATTAACGATTTTAATAGTTAAAAGGAGTTTTGTTCTTTCTAAAGATTTCTCATTCGAATAACTATATTTGTAGGATATATATACGTTGTCAATGATTAAAAAAAGATTTTGAACAAATACTACCTTAAAATCGTCATGAACAATTAAAAGAAAAAGAGCTCTAGAGTTATGGTCTCAAACTAAGCTTATCCACAAAACCAAATTATATGAGGGACATGATGTTTGATTATTGGGAAAGGCAGAACAATCTTGTTCATGTGCTTTCTTGGAGTTTTCAATTCCCTTTTTCCTAAAAGCAAATGGAGTTACATGATGGTCACAAGATACAAGGGAAAAAACCAGATAGATGAAGCCGAAAAGGTATATTAATCCATTTGTTTGGAATTGGAAACACTGTCATAATCGAAGTCCAAGTCTCATAATCTTTAGCTTCTTATTGTCAATGTCTCATTATACCCCCTTTATGTCAACATCTTGCTCACAGGCTTCTTAAACCAGATGTTTTGTTTTGGCCTAATTACAAACTTCATCCCTCTACTTTGCAGACAATGTATTTTGAGGCAAAAACAAGTAAAGTTAGAAGCAAGGTTGATGGCATTTCGTATATTTACAAAATCCCAACAAACCCTTATCTTTTTGACAAAAACAAACATATATCTCATTTAATATATATATATATATATCATAATATCATAATGTTCATGTGCATGTGACTCACACGGATGAACCAAGAAGAAATAAACAAAAAGATCCGGAGTTTTTCATTAAGATTGAGGGGCCATCCTCATGTGCTGGTGCTGCTTTGGGTTCACCTTTTTATACTCCAGAACTCAACCACGTGTGTGATATTATTGCCTCAAAGATCACCTTTTTAAAATCTTATAAATGCATCAATAATGGGTAAGTATACTGTTCTCCTTATTGATTTCTCAACAGTACTGGCACAACATACCCATTTGTGTTCAACAAGTTCATTACATTATAGAAATCTAACTGTAAAAATAAACTTATGAATAATCTTCTATACATATGGCACCCCTAAGATTTACCTGGAGGAAACAGGGTTCAAAGCTCTACAGAAGCCATTCATGGCACCATAGCCTTTTGAACTGAACCCCAAGCACCCAAGCAGGCCTTGTCTGTAAGGCAGAAAGGTCTTCTTCCTCATTTCTTCAGCCTGTGCTCTATTTGCAGTGTAATGGAGCTCATGTGGAGATGGTGGAACCACCCTCCTTTTCATTACTCCATTGACAGGCTTATTGTTGATCTTAGTGCTTCTTTGATTCTCTGTTGGTTTCTTTTCTTTTGTTGCTGGAGAGAATGAAATGGTTGACCAGAACTTGTTGCTTCTTCCAGTCCCTTCACTTTTGCTCCTCAAGAAATCTTTGAGAAAAACCCATCTCTTTGAGCTTCTTCCTGCTGAGGAAGACCTTGAAGAAGCAGCACTTGTTTCGTTGGTGTCGCTTTCTTGTACTCCAAGCATTGAGTTTGGTCATCAATGGTGAGGGTACCAAAAGTGGGATTGTTTCTCAAAGGGGACATGGATCTTGTTCTTCTCCTTAAACTCGAAGACTTATCCCTCAACCTCAGATCTCTACCTCTCACTTCATTATCATCATCATCATCTTCTTCTTCTTCTTCATGTTGAAGATCCATCAATGGAGCCAAAGCTTGTGGCCTTTCCAAATGAGTGAACAGTTTCATTGGTCTGATCTTTCCATTCAAGAAAAGTTCATCAGCCGAGCTCATGGATCCTGTTTGACCCGACCCTGGTGAAGAAGACCCGTACCTCGCAGAGAACTCGAACTCAAAACCGAGTGCCACTGAGTTGTTATTATCAGGAGAAGATGGTTGAGTTGATGATATCTTCGAAGCAACCGAGGTGATGGCGAAATGCATAGGACTGGATGGTGCACTGTAATAGAACCCACCACCACCATAGCCATTGAAGGAGCCGGGACCCGGACCAGGCGCCCGACCAGGGCTCGAAGGAGCACTTACATAGGGTGTGGAGCAAGTGCTGTCATCATAGGATTCATGGGGATCAAAGATTTGGCCATTTGGGGTACTTTCTAAGATTGAGTTTGATTTTTTGATGGGGTTTTGGGACTCCATTTTCTTCTTCTTTCGTGTGACAAAAGCTCAAAGAAGAAGGTTATGGAGATGAGAGATGGGAAAGATTTTGAGTTTGGGATTTGTTCATCAATGTGGTTTATGGGAATTGCGGAGTGATTTATAATTGTCAAATACCCCAACATGTCAAATTGGGGACTTTTACCTTTTTTTCGGTACTAATGAAAAATATGTGTTAATTCCTATTTAGTCATTCGACAATTCTCAAGTTCCATTTTAGCCACTCAACCATTTCCTTCAAAATCATCACTAAATCTATATTTTTTTCCATTTTTGTCATCGGTCGTTAAAAAAGTAACAATGGTGTCAATATGTCATCATAAGATAATGTCATGTCATCATTGAAAAAATAAAAAAATTACCATGTTAGCAGTTCAATTTATTTTCTTAACAACGAGTGATCAAGACAGAACAAAAACATAAATTTAGCGATGATTTTGAAAAAAAAAATATTGTTAAGTGATCAAATGGAAACATGGATATAGTTGGATTACTAAATATGTAGTTTATATTTAAAATTATTTTCATTTAATTTCCCAAGTTTCATATGTCGATTTTTTCTTCTTCAAAATATTACTATAAAAACATCAATTACCATTCTAGTCCTGAAATAATATTAATTTTGAAATTAAAATATGTTTTAATATTTGGATCAAATTAGAACTTAAACAATAATTTAAAGACCTACAGTGTAATTAACTCTCTTATTCATTGATATATATATATATATATATTAAATATTATTAGTTGCAGGAATATTTCTCTACATTGGATTGTAGACCTCTATCAAGGAAGTAGATTTAAATCCCTATTTCATACACAAAAACAAATTTTAAATTCAATTTCACCAGAAACTCAAAAGTCAATGCAAGTGGAAGCCAACTAAATTAATTAAGAAATGCCCTGCTTGTAAGGGTGAATAATGGGAGCTGAATGTCTCCCCACTTGTTGCATAAAAAACTCTATGCACATAAAAAGATTAAAAAAAGAGTTAATTAGACCACATGCCTTCAAACTATGACTTTCATTCTAAATTAGTCTCTAAACTTTTGAATATTTCAATTTCATTCATAAACTACTACTCTCATTCTAAATTGATTCTAAAACTTTTGAGCATTTCAATTCTATCCCCTAAGACCCTTATTCTAAATTGGTCGCCAAAATTTTGAATGTTCCAAATTTATCTCAAGCTATCGGTATGTGTTAATCACGTTCCTTGTTAATAAAGGAGTTAAAAATATGAACTATCATATAAACACTTATGTGTATTCTGTAATAATATGAAGTGACATGAACGATAAGTAATGTTTGATTTCAATAAAATAATTTTTTAACTTTGAAATATAGAAAGAATTATAAATAATTTGAGAGAAGAAAAATAAAAATCAAATAACCATTTAATTTCGTTCTAAATAAAAGATTTAAGGGACGTTATGCACAGGGACGGACGTAAGATTTTATGTAATATCCCAAATTCCATGTTAGTAGTTTGGGTTGACCCGAAACCTTTAATTAGAGCCCAAAAATACCCTTTATACTAGTTGGATAAAAATTAAGTTGGAATTGGGCTTGATTTTGGGCCCAAGTGTGAAGAGTTTGAGATAAGTTTATTAAGAATTAAGAGAATAAGGACCTAATGTGTAATTTTGCCCTTTTTTAAATCAATAGCTAAACCCCCTATTTTTTATCTGATTAACGTGAACCACTCCCATTCTTCCCCACCAAACACTCTTCCTATTCTCTCCATTTCTCTCTCTTTCAATTGAAGCCAAGATTTAAGCTTTAGGGATTTCAACAATTGGTTAAGTTTATACAAGGTAAGGAAATCATTCTTCATTTCAAGAGCTTCATTTTAAGCCCCATATGTCAAGTTTTAAGCTTTAAACCAAAAATGGGTTTTTGTGGGGTTTATGAAATAGAGAATTCTAACTTGTGTTTAGGGTATGATGAACGTTAAGAAATGTTTTTAGACTCCTAATAGTCTCCTAAATAATTTAGTAATATCATTTCTTTATGCAATAGTGAAGGAAGTTGGAAAAGGGTCTAAGGTAAGGGGGAATGAGAAGTTAACTTTGGGGTGATTTGGAACTCTTTCCAGCTACCAAGAACTCAAGATAACACTCTTATAACCTTCTTATGAAAATTATAAGCTTTACCATGCATTTATGTAGTTTACATTAACTTTGAAGGATTTAAGAGCATGTTCATGGTAGATTTTAAGTTTGTGTGTTTTTAAACTATATGATGCCTCTTTATGACTCTAATAAGCTTAAATAAGATACTAATAATGTTTGGGGACCTCCTTAGGGTCTTAGAAAGGGTTAGGAAGGTTTGAAAATGTCCAAATAGAACATTTTTGGGTGTCAGTATCGATACTAGATGAATAAGTATCGATATTGTTCATAAGAAAGGAAAAAATCTGAAGAATTATAAGTAGGAGTACCAATACTCATGCATAGAGTATCGATACTAGAGGCTCGGTTTCGATACCTAAGGGAAAGGTCTTGATACTAAAATTCTAGAATACAATTTTGGTATCGATACTCATGGGAGTATCGATACCATGAGTATCATGAGTATCGATACCAAGGGTTGAGTATCAATACTCCCCATGGGAGAATCGATACTACCCTTTTTCTCATGGTCAATTTTAAGTTGTTGGCATCGATAGTCAAGTAGGGGTATCGATACTTCTGGGTCAGTATCGATACTATCTCCTTTTCAAAGATAAGAAATTCTGGGAATTTTGGAATCATGGTTGAATGACTCAAACCACTCTTTAATCCTTCAATAAGACATCAAGTGAGAACAATATTAACAAGTTAAATTTCACTTAGAAACCCTAAAATTTAAGGAATCATAAGACTTACCTTGTATGATGTTTGAGAAACATCGTGGACACCCGAATCACTCTAGAACAAAGAAACGTTTGTATGTTAAGATATGGCCAACCTTAATATGATGCATTAAGCACATCTTTGCTAAATGGGTGTAGATTCCCTAAGACTCGACGGAGCGATTTAGCGGGTGATGCAATCCGATATAGAATTTCAGATTTCCACCTTAGGTAGGATAGAAGGGTGTGTGAGCTCCGAGATGTAGCCCCTCAGCCGCACCATGATGCCTAACTTTATATGTATGTTTTAGTTAGCGTACTCGTATGCTAACAAGTATGAGTTAAGTATATTTAAGCATATTTTAAGTATGGACATTTGAGGATGCTTGTAGTTTAATTTAGTTATTAGTGTGGCACTGAGCTTGTGAGCTCAGCGTTCGGAATTTGTTTTCGTGCGCAGGTTAAGAGCAGAAGCTTTTGGAGGAGCCTTTATATAGACTGACTAGAACCAGCTGCCAGATTTGGAGTATGTCTCTACCTTTGTACTAGTGGCATGTATTATAAATGAATCCGTGTGCGTCAGGTCAAAAATGTAATGTTTGAATATTTTGTAATCTATAAATTCAAGTATTTTGGGGGCTCACGAGTTGTGAACAAGTGATGTGAATTTATTTGATTTCGTATATAAAAAATATGGGTTTATGTAGATGATTATGTTTTTTAAGGAAAAATTTTGATTAGACACTCCGGTGGTCCATGTGACGTCATAGTCCGTCAATCTTAAGGTCGTATTGAGTTAGGACGTTACATTTTATGTTAAGGGCAAACTTGAAATTATAAAATTTTAGGGGCAAACTTGAACTTATAAAATTGTAGGAGGGTTGAAAATAAACTTTCAACAAATACATAGATAAAATCTAAAATATATGACAATTTTAAATTTTTAGAGGGGGCATTACTAGCCCTCGCTTAGATCCATCCCTGATTATGCATATTCATCATTATGTATGTCACATCATATTATTACATAATACATATCAGTATTTACATTGTAGTTGACAAATTATTTTAGCATAAATCGATAATTTGAAATGAAATTAGAGTATTCAATGTTTGAGGATCATAATGTGAAGATGAAATTTAAATTTTAAAAATTTAAAGACTAATGTAAAGTGAGATAACTTAAGAATAAAATTAGATTATTTGAAATTTTAAATCAAAATTTTATTTTCATTAAAAGTTACATTATTAAAAAAATAATAATTACAAATTCTAAATATAAACAATGAAAAGATAAAGTATAAAACATATTGGATGGAGGGATAGTATTTTGAAAGGCATTGAAGAACTAAAACTATAGCTCCTTTTCATAGGATCCCAATTTAGGGGCAGCTGTGTCCTACAAGGCTGAGGGTCCTGCATTGGCACCTACACCACCCTCTCTCATGATCAATAATTAATCATTGTTGTACTAAATTAATATGATAAGAAATGAATAAATTAAGGGTAAGAGGATTTCTTAGACCCTAATCATGGTTAACATTTACCCTTTAAGATCAAAGAGAAGGAATAATATTTCTACCTGCTAATCTGTAAACATCTGTCAGTTTTTTCAGTTCCCTGTGCCCAAGGAAGAAGAATATTGGTAGCACTTTGTAGCCTTGGGAACCAATCAAGGCTTAGCATGTGCTTCTCTTTGTGGTTTTATTTTCTTTTCTCTCAAAACCTTTATTAAAATACAAGCACTATAAATGTCTAAATTAAAATATAATTACTAAATCTATAACTTTTGCATAACACATGGATCAGTAGAAGAAACTGATATAATAATAATGAGTAAATTATAAATTTGGTGATTGAACTTTACTCTTTCTCCTATTTCATTCACTGTATTTTAAATCTTTTCAGTTGTCTCACTGAACTTAATGCATTGGTTTTTCTTGATAACTCAGTCGTTTCTTCACTAACGATGTTATAAATGGACTTTTATATAGATGCAAAACGTCATTTTGGTGAAAATTTTATTTTTTAAAAATGGTGTCGTTTTAACGCCATTAACTATTTAACGGATGGGTGACAAAAAATCTAATGTATTAAGTTCAGTTAGAAAATTGAAAACTTTTAAAGTTCAATGAGCAAAATAGGAGAGAGATTAAAGTTCAGTGATGAAATTTGTAATTTACCCAATTATAATTTATCAACAATCCCTCAGCTTATATGTTCACAATTGTGAATTATACACCAAGTATATATCTTCTCCATGAACAAAGAAATCCAAATGGAGGCTGAGATTTTGATAATGGAACCACAGAAGCAAAAATGAAGGCTAATCTCAAAGCAATAAATCAGAAACTAATTCATCAACTAAGCAAGTTAATATGTTCTTCTCGATTTCTACGCCCTCTTCGAATGCTTCCATGTCAAAATCAAGCCATCTCCCATGCTTTGTGCTCATGTCCTTGTCTACAAGATCATCCACCATTGTGTCCCCCTCGCTTTTCCAACCCGAGATCTCTTTGTTCACTTCCTCCGCCAGCCAATCCTGGTTTTGTATCTTTTTTTTCCATGCAACACATCCTTTGTAGCTTCCGACCAGAACCTGTCGATACCTCGACTCCATGCATTCACTCACACAATCGAGTAAAAGCTTTTGTTTGAGCCTGTAATCTTCTCTGTTTCTCTCTGTGCCGGTTAGATGCTCTATCTTATTCAAGGTCTTCAGGGTCATAAACTTTTCAGTCTGACCCAATGCATATTCTATAAACAATAGCTCTGGATCTTTTAGCACCATTTTCACGAAATCGACTTCCCAGTTGGTTGACTGTTTATAGTCTCTGGAATCTAATGCCGTAGATGAAAGCTTTCGGTCTGTGTCTCCAGCTGGTTTAGAAGATGCTGTGTCGGATAACTCCATACCAAATTCCATCAGAGACTCGCATACACATTCAGAGGTCCAATTTAACAATTCTTGATCTTGAACAGAAAAGAACGGTGTGGTGCCTGCAAGGGTAGAGTGTGTGCGTCGGTTAGAGCAACGATGTCGATATAATCAAAACTATAAATACCATGCAAAATTCATGAACTACTACAAATCATTCTAAAAGTATAGTTTAACTATTCTCTAAACTTTGTCCAAAGATTTAATCAGAATAACATTCCTACCGCTTCATAGCGTTTTCAACTCAAATACGAAACATAAGGAAAACAGTTCGAGTGGCAGAAATGCAGAACTACAAAGAGGAAAATAAGAATAAGAAGAGTGCAGCTTACCATGTCTGCTACCTGAGCAGCCTCCGCTTGTGATAGAAGGTTCAAGAGTTGAACGTAGGCCAGGGTGCTGGTTATCTGCTTCTATGCCAGTCTCACTGCTGCTGGTGCTAGCATTTTGCTCTTCAATTTCTTCAGATTGCTGGCATCATTCAAATAAGTTTGAAGTAATATTTCATTATAATGTAAGATCGAAAACTAAGACTACAATTTTATTTATAGAAACGAGAGGTATACGAGACAATAAAATGGTTCGAAATCATTCTAGCTTCTGAACAACTGTTGCATTTATGAAGAAATGTCGATGTATCTTTATCTAGATGCACCTGAAGTCTTCTATGACGTGCTGTTGATTTTGTGGTAGCCATGCCAGATGAGGGCACGGAGTTTTGCCAACTGGATGTTGGGCTAGCAGAAGCCCCCTTGATAACGATATCGCAGTTGGATGACTCAATTCTACATGTCAAGTCCTGAAGATTTTTTTCCAAAATAGCACTCAGAGCATCCCCACCGATTATATTGAATCCGGAAGAAGGAAATGCCGAGCTTTTCAAAAATAGCATATCATTATCGCCAGAAGGATCAGTATAAAAGCTGCCGCTGCATCTCTTTTCCGCAACTTGACTAGTGGAAGACATGTCAGGCATGGACCTTGATAAGGGGGACACAAACGTAAATGAAACAACATCCATGTTTTTCTTCTTTACATCTGCATCCTGATTCAAGTGCCCATCAGTTGTAACATAACATTTTAAAGACCTTTCGCTACCATTTGTAGATGAAATATCAGGAACAGTTTGTCCCGACGGAAGGTCCTCATTTACAGGGCATTTCTTTCTAGGCAAATTCTTTCTCCTAGACATCGGGACCTCCTTTGCAGTATCAGTTGCCACTGAGACTGTCTTCCTGGAACTAATGGTCCTATTAAGCCCTAATGCACCATTTATGGACCTTGTGTTTCTACCTTGCTGGTCCGATGTTGAATTATCTCGATTAGATATGCAATTCTGCTTCTGATTATTCTGCCTCAGCACACCGTTAGTCCGGTTTGCCGACGCTCTTTTCTCCACAGTCCTTTGTATATCTGACCGACTTGTAGAGAACTGTTTTCTTTTAGCATCATTCCTCTCCTTCTGGTTCACAAAACTCCCACTTACACTCGATGATGACCCTTCTTTCCTCTTAACATTAAGCCTTGCTTGTTCTGCAAGTGAGACTGATTTTCCCTTATTCCTTGAACAGTTAGAACTGCCCTTTTCCGAGTCCTTTGTTATCTTGAATGTCGGTGTATAATCTGATTTACTGCGACTCTTGTCCTTATGCTGTACTTTCAAAGGCTTCACCGTAGTCTCACTAGGCTGATCAGCTCTTTGAGGCCTCGATACTTTATGTGCAGCTTCAAGTTTCTCTCTCAAGTTCCGCATTTTCAAAGGAACCGAAGAGGATCCAAATGATGACACTTTACCTTTGGAAGTTGCCTGAGGACTAGCCTCAATAATCTTTGCAGCCGCCTCCATTATATAAGCTGCATTCTTGGTTGGGATGAACGCTGGACTCCTGATAGGAGACAAAAGCTTATGGTGAGTGATTGGAATTGGCTTTGCTGATTTTGGAGGCAATATTTCAGTCTGAAATCTCTCGATTGACCAGTTCTCCACCTTAAGAAACCTTGGTTCAAAGAGATTTGAAGACGACCTGTCAAGCTTGTTAGATATGTTAGTGTAGTCCGTGGGTTGATATTCGTTCCATAAACTAGGAGCACTTCTTTCATACTGAGATACTCTAACAGAGCAAGACCCTGAGTAGGGGACGGAAGAAGACTCGGAGACATTTTGTGTCGGTAATGAGTCCAACCCCATAAGCCTAGCAACAACTCCAGGCACTCTAGATCCGTATCCTTCATCGCTGGCCACCGAAGAAGAAGAATTAAAATCACCGCTTCGCCTATTATTCGAAGCAGCAGTGTACTCATCCCCCTCCATCTATTATGCAGATAAACAATATACTCAGAAACTAACAAATCACCAAAATAAACAGTTGAGCTAAATAAGATTAAAGCTGGAAAGGAAGCAAATTTCACACCATAAGAGGCGGCGGCTTCACTACATATTCCTCGGGTTTTACTCTCTTTGATTCTTCTACAGTCAAAATGCAAACAAATGGTGCATGATTTACAAACATGTCCGTATAATAAAGAAAAAAAGGACTTAAAACAGAAAAGAAATGCATATTCATATAGACGAAGAACACGAATGTACCCGGTAACTCGGAATTGTTCGAGAAGAGCTTCTTCCTAGATTTACCTTTCCAGTCAAACAATTGAAGAAATCCTCCCTTGGAACGTTTCCTTTCAACCTCCATTATCTTATCTACAAAATCAACATTAACTCAAAGATTTAAACCCCAACAAGCAGAGAAAAAGTCCAATCATTCATCAAACAAAACAAGCATGAATTTAAACAGCGGTCCGCTATCAAAATGGCAGCCGTTATATGGCGGTAAAGGTGACTTCCAAAACCATTATTTCACAAAAACAGCAATATTCGCAATGCAACCGAAAATGCAACGGCAACCGTAATTTAAATCCCTAAAACAAGACCCTAAAACTCAATCTAAAACAAGTATTACATTTTTGTTCAAGGTTAAGAGACTAAGAGTAACCAATTGAAATGAGAGAAATCAAGCGTTTTCTGGCATTTAATTCTTAAACATATGAATCAGATCTCCATAACCCAAATTCCAAAGAGAAAAAAAATTAATCAATGGAAATGCAGATAATCCACCAAAAGGGGAAAATTCACCTTGAATTCTTCAAAAGTGGCTAAACCCCATGATCCAGGTACCAAGCTCCGTCCTTGTCACAATGGGCTTACAGAAAAACAGCTAAACCTAACTGGGTTTTCATTAAATTGAGCAAAAAGCTTCAGCTTTTCAAACCATTTGCACTCATTACAACTAAACTTCAAGCACCATTTGTTTAGTTTCGCTGCAACTAGAAATACCAGTAATGCACATAGAGGAAGAACAGAAATGGAGGAGGGTATAACACCGAAAGAAATGTCTAGTTTTGAGCATTAAATTTTGAAGAAGCATTGATATAACGTTTCATAACCAGACTCTGCCGTTGAAAATTTAAAGACTCAAGGCTTCGTCTTGTGAAACAAATCAATTTAAGAAAGGAAAAGAAAAGATTGTTGTCCTGGTCATGCAACTTTCCTACTTTGTTACCAGTGCCATGCCCACATGGGCAGTTTCACCATGGGCTAGGACCTTCATTATATAAAATTAGTTCGAGGATAAATAAATTGAATTTGAACGAAAAAGATTGTATTATTATTTTTATTTTTGAATGTATTCATGTTTGATTTGTATTTGTTTAAATTTTTAATATTTTATTAGTATATGTTTATTTAATTTTGAAGGTATTCGTGTTCGGTTCATTTAAGGTTTGTTCAGCATTTGCAAATATATTAGTCAAATTACACCACTAGTCCTTAAACTCTTTAGGAGTCACAATTTGAACACCAAGTTCACAATATGTTCAATTTAATCTTTATCTTCTTCAATATCTAAAATCTAAAATATATTCTTCAATTTGAACACCAAGTTTTCCAATAAGAGTGTTCATGAACATAAACGAATCATACACACCTTTGTTCATGTTCATTTGTTTATTAAATAACATAAAAGTTATTTATACTCATTTATTTAGCTTAATAAACGAACACAAACAAACATTATACGAACGATTCATCGAACATTGTATTCATTTAAAGACCTAAAATTAAAATTTAAAGTGGATTTTTTTTAAAATTGATATATATATATATATATATATATATATATATATATATATATATATATATGGACTACAATCTAATTACGTAGTGTAAAACTTTTTAGTTTAACACCTTTTTATGATCATTGGATGAGAGAAAATCAAATGATGAGATTAACCGTAGAAAATAAGAAGATACTCACTGAAAAAAAAGTTAATCTTAGCATTTGATTTTCATTCATTCAATGATCCTAAAAAGATGTAAAATTAAAAGTTTTACACTTTATGTAGGTGGATACTAACCATATATACATACCTACATACATACATACCTACATACATGCATATCATGTTATTATTGTCAAATGTTAAACTAATAAAAGAACCAAAATATTAGTTTAATGAACGAACAAATATACTTACTCTAATATCATGTTATTATTATCAAATGATAAACTAATAAAAGAATCAAAGCTAGTTGTACGACTCGGATTGATTCAGATTAATCAAAACGAGATATTAAAAAATGATAAACTGATAAAAGACGTCTTACCAAAAAGGTTAGATAATACACAAGTTTTCACGATTTTAAGCAAAGGGGTTATCCTGTTAGGCACATAATCATGTGATAATATAGGGTGGTTAACATGTCAAGTCCAATGTCAAACAACTATACATATATTCTTTCTCTTAATTCAAGGAAAATGATACATAGAATCCCTATGATTGTGCCTCACAAGTCACAAGGTTCATTCACCAAAAGATCATTAGTCTTCACTTCTATAATTTCTCCCTTCACTTTTACAATATTGATATTAAGCTTTTTTTAATATAAATCGCTAGTATTATTAAAAAATGAAAATATTAAAATTATAATAAGAGTTCATAACTATCGTTGTAAATTAAATACATAATTTGAATATTTTCTTATAACATTGAAACTAATCACTTTAGATCATACAAGTATTATGCATGGAAAAAGTTCAAAACTCAACCAAAAGCCTCGAACAAAAAATAGATACAAACAAATTTGACTTCATCGGAAAATGAACCATAAAAGGGGATTAAGTTATTGAAAGACTGCGGAGAATCACAAATCAGAGACGAGAGTCGTGAGAAACTATTCACGAACGTAAAATCGCGTATCCAAATTCAATCCGAGGGTCCAAAGCGGGATGGATCAATAAGATTATAAATAATTGTTATCTTGATTAATTGTGACGTCGTCAAATCCAACCCTTAGAAAACATAAAATAAAAGAGGTCAAATGACCGAGAAAGAAGATGAAAAATGTGACACGGAGGCAAAAAAAAGTGCCACAAATGCAGAGAAAACGTGTCACAAAAACTGAATTATTCTTGTTAAAAAATTAAAAAAGAAACAAAGAGAAAAAACGATGATCGAAAACCAACAACAAAACTATTGTCGCCGTCGTCTAAACAAAATAAAAGAAATTGATTTGATCTATAAAACAACGTCACAAACTCTAAAGGGAGAAAACAAAGAAGAGTGGGAGGGAGAGAACGGTTAGGGTTTAATATTACTATTAGTTAATTTAGATAGTTGAAAATACTAATTATTTAATTTAATTTAATTCTTATAAGTTATAAAATTTGTTATCAATATATTTATCTGTTTGAATATTATATACAAATAATTCTATTTATTTAAAAATAAATTAATATATTTGTATTTTAAAATATACACTATTGGATCAAAACAAAAAAAATTATATATGCCTTTAATTTAAAACAAAAATTGTATTTATATAATAAATACATAATTTTAAATATTTTTTTATAAACATCAATTAAGCAAACCCTAAAATGATAAAAACACAACAAAACATCGATTAATTTTAACCATTGAAGCATAAATAGCCACCGGCCAACCTTTCATTCATTCATCAACCTCTCTTTTCCGTAACAAAAGGAGCATGCATTGTTGTCCTCTCCATCCTTTTCCCTCAAAAACTAAAACCTTCACACACAAAAGAGACACAAAAGGGAGGGCAAAAAGGGGTCGAGACGCATCGATTGATGGAGGAGTCTCGGCCATCACCGTACGAACTATACGGTGGTGGCGATGGCGGTCGAAGTCTCGGAATCGCAGATGACAACATGTTGAAATGCACAAACAAGCCACCTTACAATGGTTCGACTTATCCTCCAATTCCTCCCTACGATCGTAAATGCGTCGCCTCAAAGAAGAAGAAGAAGTCATCTTTATCGATCAAGTGGTGGAATGATCAAAATATGAAAACAAAGATGAGACTTACAGGTTATAAGATGTATGCCATTGAAGGGAAGATTAAGAAATCTTTTATGAAAGCACATAAATGGATAAAGAAGAAGTATCATAGAATTGTGCAGTACTGAGACTCCTCAATCCCTTGTAGTTCAACCTTTGTCACTGTATCTGTTGATAAATTGTAGCGGAAAACCCCTCTCCATTTCCAAACCAGTAATACTTCCATGTTTTGGATGCCAACTAGTTTTATATATATGGTAACTGTATGAATCATCTATGAAAGGGAACATCTTCCTGTCCCATTTGAAGTCGAGAGTATAGATCCAAATCCATTTCCCGATACAGTTCTCGTCGTCGGAGATATCGAAAATCCATAGGTAACCCTCTAGCCCGCACAAATGGAAGCAGGTTAGCCGACCCTGCATCTCGAACAGCTTCATCTTCTCCCTAGGCAGGGGTAACTTGGGTGACACATTGCTTGGTTGATAAAGCTGTGGTTCTCACACAACCGCGTGTATACGGTTGTTGATCAGAGTTAATGGTTATTTTCATTGTGCTTTTCTGATCTTAACCAAGAAGAGCAAGAGAAGGGATTGGTTGAATCTACTGCTGAAACTAAGCAGGACCGTTTAACTCTCCAAAAACTCCATGAAAGCAAAAGCTCAAGGTAGCTCTCGAGGAGACATTTGAAGAAGGATCTTTGTTCAAAGCATCCGAAGAGGGATCCGAATGTAAATCCTGTGGGGCTGGAGAAAATATTAAATAAGGTATATAATCAAACTGTAACTAAGAAAACGGTTGAGTGATTAAAAAAACATAATATATGAAGATACTAATTTTTTACCCATATTAATTTATTATAATTATTATTACTATAATAATTATTATTATTATTATTATTATTATAATATATTATTATTATTATTATTAAATAAATATATACATATATAAATAATAATAAAAAATATATACTGGCCCAACCAGTTAACCCAAATACAATGGCCCAAACCCATTCAGAAACCCTAAACCCAGATTAGAGTATGATCTCTAACCCTAGCCGCCTCATCATCACAGCCGTTGGATCTGAGAGATCCAACGGCCCACACTCATCCAGCACAAACCCTAGGGTATGATACCCTAGGGCCACGCGGCCGCCGCTGCTGCTGCTTCCAGAAGACTCCACCGCCACACCAACGTTCCAGCTTCCACCACGTCTACCAAAGACTCCAGAAGGCCGGCCGTAACCGCACACGTCTCCCCCAAACGGTGAGTCACCACTGGGAGTCCGGTGACTCACCGAAGGGTATTCTTCAGACCGGTCCGATGACCACACCGGTGATGGCTATAAAGCCATCACCCCATCTGCGAGCAAAAACAGAGAACACAGAGCCGGAAAAAAGAAAAAAAAAACAGAGAAACAAGAAAAAAAAACTACTACCAACGATCTCAGTCAACATCCCACAACCAGCAACCAAAAATAGAAGAAAAAGGAGGAGAGAAGCTTACCGAGGAAGCCACGACCACCGGAAACCTCCAAACGTCACCAACAACCTTCGAAAACCAAAGGTATTTTCCTAGATTTGCTCCGATTGGGAGCTTTTTAGGAGAAAATAACACCGGAACCGTCCTTAGGACGGTCCGATCTACCTATTAGAATAAAAATAAAATTTTCCGGCCACCGGATGCGGTGGCCGGCGGTGATGGTCACGGCGGCAGACGGTTGCCGTCCGGTGACCGGCTTCCCTCCGGTGAGGGAAGCTAGAGAGAAGGCAGAGAACAATTTTGTTCTCTCTGTTAGAGAGAGAACAGAATTGAAGAAATGAGAAACTGGCCCGTAGGGCCAGCCGGCTTAGGGTATAAATACCCTCTCCCAAACGACGTCGTTTCGGGGATGGTATTTATGTAATTTCACAAAGGGTAAATCCCGTCCGAAGCCATTCCAACTTGTAAACTTTACATTTTAGTCACTAAATTGAATTTATAATACTTTTAATTTGGTCTCGAAATTTTAATTTTATTTATTTTAGTCCTTTTTATTAAAATAATATATTTAGGATAAATAACAGATTTAATCCCTTAATTTTAATAAATAATATTTTAATCCCTAGTTTATATTTTTAATTTATTTTATTATAATATCCGAATTTTAGATAATTTTATTTTAGTCACTAAATTATTAAATAAGAAAATAGCATGTTTAATCCCTGTAATTCTGATTAATTATGAATTAGGTTTTTCAATTT